TTGGTAAGGGTTACCAACCTTTACTCTGACCCGACAACAATCCGTCACATGGTTAATTCACTGACTGGTATAACACCCAATAAATCATTAGTACTGTACTGTTACCTATAACATACTTAAAAATAGTTTTTACAGAACTCGTTTATATTAATATTATTGTAAATATCAAGTATAAATAAAACATTTAATTACATAATTATATCGAAAAAATTTGAAGATAAAAGTGATAATCTAGAATTTTCCATGTACTAGTTTCCGAATCTTCACCTTGGCCCCCGTTTCCTGTCAAGTAGCGTCCATTCTCTCCGACGCTACGCTGGTCTCGCCGTAAAGCTTTGCTGCATTTTCGATCATATCTGAAATAATGATAATGGGGTCGATGGTGAAGGATCTTCCGTTGCGAATTCGTTGAGCAACATCAGCTAATACCCTGATGAGATAGGTGATGGCGGTAAAGATGGCTATAGCTTCAATCCCCAATGAGTTTTTATACCCTGCATCCTTGCCCTCTACCTCCCAAGTTTCTTTGAAGGCGTCCACGGTACTTAAAGGGATGTCTCCATCTTCCCCGGTAACTAGAGTTGCATCCTTCCTGTTGCTGATGGCAGTGGCAGCGTAGGGTAATTGGTGAAGCGATCCATAAAGAACAGAATTATTTACTGGATGTACAAGAGCCATTCTCGAGTAGTTCTATTTGGATTTGTCACCTTTTCCGACGGATTACACGAATACACGAATATAAAAAAATTCCAAGTTTGTGTTCGCTCCACTATCCGACACGACAGTAGGGTGAGCGTCACGGGCCAGCAGGATGTTGGAGGGAGATGAAACAGTTCTGTGCTGCTGGTGTGCGCGCGACGCCAACTGACTGACTGTTGAGAGCGGTACCTGGCTGTGTTCGCTCTGGACATGGAGTGGTCTTCTTGCCGGCACGCCTTATATTTATATACTGTACAGTTATTCTTCCCATCGTCACACTTCTGAAATGTGCCTCGCCTCCCTACGTCTTTAGCTAGGATTCCATTAACGCGTTAGCGCCAAAAATAGATCACATTGAAATGTACACGATTGTTTCCATTGGCACGGTTAGGTTAGCGTTATTCGTTTGCAGTACATGTCAACTGCTCCCTGTAGCGATTGAAAACGCAAACGTATGTAAATGGATGCAGGAATCCCACTGTAACGTAACTGTCCGTGTTTGCTCTCCACACTCAGCAAAATGCCTGGAGGAAAAAGTTTTCTGTCGAGGACACTGAGAAGTTGATTTCACTCAGAATATACCCCAACCTATTTTTGTAATGCATTTATATAATACATTTAAAAACCTTTGTACATGTATATCATTTTACGAGATTCATATATTTTTGATACAACTGTTCTGAAATGAAGGTTCATGATCAATAAAAGGTTCACTGGAATACTAATCATTGTCACTTAATACACTGTATTTGTCTACGGTTCCTATTATTTCCTATTTGACTCACCTTATACATATTGCAAGTCGCTGCCTTGAGCAAACGACTTCTCTGTTCCAGCAATGTTTCACCAAATCCTCCTCAACCAGGGATAGAGCATGTGCGAACTATTGTCTGCTATCAAACAGGGAGGATATTGGAAGTATAATGTGTTGTCTAATGGTAGACCCTGCTGCCATATGGCATCACGAAAATTGTGACCAATTCCCAGGTTGCTGATCTGACTTTCTGTCTCATGGAATTGCAGGGTCTCACTTGTTTCTTACTTTGACAACACAACATACATTTATCGTTTCTCACTCTTGATCTTTTATTTTAAATTTTTGTATTTATTTATGGTTCTTTATTATTTTATTTTATTTTCTATTATATTTATTTCTATTATTATTATTTAATTTTCATTTTTCTTGTATACTGTATTACTATTTATTAATTAATATATTTTCGCCCCAGGTCCTGATGCGAGTCATTGACCTGTGCCGGGATGGGCTAATCCCCGTAAAATAGTTTCATCAGTTCACTCAGTACCGGTATATATCCTCCCAAAATACCTATTCTTGTAATGCATTTATGTAATATATTTATAAACCTAGCAAGTGTTATTTAATCAAGTAATTAAGTATGCATCAACATTTATATATTTAACTAGATCCATACACTTTTGACACATATATTCTAAAATTAAGGCTCGTGGTCTCAATAAAAGGGTTCTTTGTAATACACATTTTTGTGTCACTATTATTTATCTATGGTCCCGATGTTTTAATTATGCATGACTTTCCTTATACATAATGCAAGTCGTTGCCTTGGGCAAATGACTTCTCTGTTCCTGCAGTGTTTCACCAAATCATCCTCAACCAGAGAACATGTGCAAATTGTTGTCTGTTTAAACAAAAATATTCTTTGAAATTTTCTTCAGCCAAGCTTAGCTCTTACCAAAGTATTGTAGGCTCCAAATTTGGACCGATTCAGCAGCAATTTATGCACCCACCATCAATGTTTCCTTGACCGTTTTCCTTTGCATCACGCATTATCTTATACAAAACTAGGATAATTAATAGCAAATCATCCTATTCATATACCGTAAATACATCGTAGTTTTGATGCACTGGGAACCACCTTTCCTGTCCTATTCCCGTAACTGCAAATGGAAACAGGGGTGTTCATTTTCCAAGGCAATTTAACACATGCATACTGCAAACATATACCAAAAATGCACTGCAAATGCATAAATGGGATCCCAGCTTAAGGGGACTTTTAAGGTGGAGTGGAGACCTCAACCTGAGTCTCATATAGACTTTGAGGGGTCTGAAGAGTGGGGACTGGAAGTGTAGCCTTCATCCTGACCTTAAAAGATGATGAGCAAAATGCTTGCTAGACAATTTCAAAATTACACTGCTCACTTCACTGTCACATAAACAGAGGGAAAGCACTTCAGTCACTAAGCCAGGGAAATGCACTTCACTGGCAGCGTGAAAACACTTTACAGTCAATAAGCAGGGACAGCAGTTCACACAATCAGTGCAAAAACACTTCAGTCACTAAAGCAGAGGAAGCACTTAAGTCAGTGAAAGCACTTCAGTCAGTGCAAAACACTTCACAGTCACTAAAGCAGGGGAATCACTTCAGAAAGAGCAAAAGCACCTCCTATTCACTAAAGTAGGAAAACCACTAGAGTCAGTGCAAAAAACACTTCAGTCACTAAAGCAAAAAGAAAGACACTTCAGTCAGCGAAAGTAAACCACAATTATTAAAGCGTCACTAAAGGAGAGAAAACACTTGTCACTATAAATGAGTACCTATACAGTACAGTACACTGAAGCTTTGTAATTTCCTGTAACTGTAAGGAAAAATAACAATAAAAATAATGATGGCAGTTGCTGCAACTCACCTCGTGTTCACAAACAGAGGCAAAGCACTTTTCAGTCATGAAAAAAAGATAATAATAATTACTTCAGTCACCAAAACAGAGTATACAATATAAACTTTATTGATGTCCTCTCACTGTATGGTAAAAAAAAAAAAGTTGATGCTAAATAACACTGAAGAATGATCAATATTGAGATCCAATTTCTTACACAAATGTAATCAAGACAAAACAATGGCTGGACTGTAGTTTACCATATGGTCATGATGCGGCATTCAGGTAGAAGACGCCTCAGTTGACAAATGAAGTGAGTGATGTGTTCCATATTCTGAGTTGGTGAGATGATCATCATTAATGCAAGTTTGTTTACATCGCAAATAGGGGTGTGATCTTAATATATCATCGTTAACGCGAATTATTGTATATTGGGACATCGTACACAGAGGTTTACCTGTAAATACTTCCCAAGGCAACCCAACATCTTCACCACACACACTTGTATTTCTCAGTAGTGTACTTGGCCAAGTTAAAATGTTCTTGAAAGTCTCAGATATAAAGAGTAACAGGATTAACACTTAAAATATTTCATATAAAAATTCATGTAATATTTAGTAAGTCATTTACAACCCTTATGAGATGTTACAGCTAAGTGGATAAAGCATTTCCCTCCTGTTGTTAGGATTGCTGGTTCATCCCAGATGTGGATGGGTACCTAAATTCAGTTAGAGGGGGTAAAAGCAGTTGAGTACAGGTAGTGACATTCACACTGCCTCTATGTTACAAATAAATTGTTTAATCTACAATATGTTGTTTACTTTATCACAAAATGAGGACATCAAACCTATGGCACCCCTTTTCAGGATTCATTACATATACTAACCCACACAGTAATAAAATGACACCTAGCTGCCCTCCTAGTCACCCATAGGCTGTAGACCCATTTCCATTTTGAAAGGTGCCACCCTGCCTCACCCCCCATGGTACCACAAAGCATTTCCATGCACCCCATTAAGACTTCCTGTCCTTACAGAAACAGACATTCTTGTTTGTGCCCATGGGGTGGGCAGCCAATGATGCTGGCCCTGGGGGTGATGTTAAAAACAGTACCCTGTGATTAGGTGGGACACCCACTGTAAGGCAGCTTATCTACAATTTTTAAGTCAGTCATGGTGTGGATTTAAATGTTTTGTGGTATCGACATTATCAATGACATTTTACAGCCATTTTCCACATTTGCATGGGTTAGCCACACACACACTATAGATCCATGTACACAATGAATGTCAACAAACATTAGTACAGTAGTACTATAGCCTTTGTATTATCAGGGGTGAAATCCTGAGTAAATAGAGAAATTTAATATTGAGATTATAACCAGTACAATAAGAAGTAATTACTTAATACCGGTATACAGTATTGTTTGTTCAATAAAATATAAAGGCTGTGTAATTCCATCATTTACTAAACTTTTTCATCAGCCCCATGTGTGTATTATATATATTATATAATAAAAAAGTACACAATGCATGTTGACACACGTTACTATACTATACAGTATAGCCTTTGTATTTTCAGGGGTGAAATTCAGAGGTTGTAAAAACTTTGAACATTAGATGGTAACCAGTACAATAAAATATATTAAGAACATAAAAACAAAATTTGCAGATGATACAATTTATTGATACTGAGTGGAAGTTTATGTACAATAGGCCTCTTTAACAAATTTAGTAAAAAGCTCATGTTCTGAAAAATTACTAAGTTCAGATTAGATAATAATGGTTTCAAATATTACATATACCTTAATGGACGTCTTGTTTAGAAAGTGTGTTTGGAAATTATCACAGCTTACTCAAGACAGCCAATAAGTGTATTCTATAATTCTTCAAGTTTCAAATATCCTTTCATAATCAACAAATGGTCTACATAACCCTTTATTAAAGCCAGCCACTCATGCATAGATCTGTAAGCCTGTGAGCATAAGATTCTGATATCACCGAACATAGTACCAATTTCATCGACGTGTTCAACATAATTACACCCTTTTCTCTCAACTAATGGAAATACTAAATTATATTTAAAGGGATTTAATATTCTATAAATATATATACATGTTTTGGATTAAAATATGCAGATCTTTAACTTAACTACTGGAAATTAATGCCTGGCAGGATCTTCATAGACCACTCATAAGTTAAAATAATACTAGCTGCTGAGGGCTGACTGGAAGGAATCAGGCTAGGAGACGTGTGAATGCCAAAATACCCTGGTATACAAAAAAGAAAAAAAAATTGGAAAGGGTATGCATGAGCTCACAGAACAACAAAGGAGCCAGACAACCCAAGATTTATGTACAATGCAAATGAAAAGGGCCCCAAATTACTATTCTGAGGTACATAAACTGTAATGAAACGAGCGATTGTGTGAATCCCCACTTCTCAAGCCTCTAAAAAACCCTAGATGTGAGCTGGCTAGATATGTATAAAAATAGGCCCACAGCACATGACCAGGGAAGAGCAGCATCAGAAGTTGGGACCTGAGACAGTGTGACATGCAGAGGTATGAACCACCAAATTCCACACCACTACTTCAGCAATATTTCTTACGATTAAGTGGCCCTTGAAGCCAAACAACTTCGTAACTTTCTATAAGGCAAGAAAATTCTCCACTCATAGAGCAGAAAAAAGAGGAGGTAAATTGAAACCTCAAATCTGATTGATGATGGTGAAATTAATGAGTAGATATTATGGAGATCAAGTAGACAAACCAAGGCTTTTTGCATTCTCCAATAATTAAGATTCATTTGCATTAAAAATGAATTCTTGAACACACAAAAGTACCCAAAAGTTTCATTAGAGTAATCAGAAACTAGAAACATGAGCATGAAAGTTTGGTAAGAAGTAAGCTGAAGGGGTTCCAGAATTTGGGATAATGTTGAAGACACCAAACTATGGGATTCCGCAAGCTTTTCTTTGGTACTTATACTGATGTGTTAAAGGTGCTCTGCTTCCAAAACATGGCTGCTAAGATTCAAACTTAAAAAATAAATGAGGGCATAAAAACTGTCTTTTGAGGATGAAAATTATGTTCACCATTAGATTTGTGTAAAAGAAAAAAGAAAGTAAAAGACAATAATCATAAAAAATCTACATATTAGCCACTGTCAACAATCACAATTTCTATCTACACTGGTCTGCCAATCAAATGCAATTGCGACAATTAAAGTTTTCGTCAAATACAATATCATAATTTGCAACCAAACACTCAAAGCAAGCCAAAACACTAACCATCATACTAGAACTCCATCTCTCTGACAGACATTATCAAGCAATATATGAAAAAATGTACGAAAGGCAGAGCACCCACAAGAAGTGTTTTTATCCAGAGTACATTGCCAGACAAGAGTAAGGGGTAAGTTACAATGTTTACCCCTGTTAATCCAATTTCAACAAAAAAATATATTCCAATATGAGAATGTTAACCCTTACAAATCTGTAAAAGACAATATCTTGTAAAACAGATTAGTAATGGTAATGGACATCACTACATTAAATATCACTGGATTATATTAGTTTTCCACAGAAAACAGCGATAACAAATATAAATAAAAAATGCACACAATGAATATCATATCCCAAACCAGCCATTTACTAACAAGGGTAAGCGAGCATGTTTGGAGAGGGACTACAACACAGTGCACATGCTGTGAACGTGTCCCACAGAGATAGTAATTAGGGATGAGCGTGCACTTAGCACACACTGGACCACCATATTCACCCGTTTAGCTACTTACACAATTTGGAATGATCCAAAACAAATAAATAGACTATGTTCACCATTCAGATCATATGACATCAAAATTAATGAACATCCATATCCATGTATTATATGATCCATTAAAAATGTCTCTGGGTAGCTTAGTTCCCAAACCCTGAGTCCATGAATATCCCCGCTCTTCTTATGATCAAGTGGACAAAAAAATTTACTATCCATTCCCTAAACAATCCTCCAATCAAAAAATGGAATCAGTAGGAAAAATTCACTACTTATAAATATATATTTTACTATACACGCAGTGTATGATATTAAAATATCAGAGCAAACTCATTATTATGAACTATTCTAAATGCCTCTGATGAACATAGGAAACTGCACATGAAATTTTGTGTAATATTTAAAAATTTACTTAATATACTATTAAATATGAATTTCTATCAAACAATTTAATTAACAATAAGTTAAATAACATTTCTTGCTTTAGAATCACACTGTACAGTAGCTTAGTAATTCCACTTGGGGAAACTTTACCCTGTCCTTTATGCCACAGGAATATATGATTTCTACCAAGGGTTGTCTTGTATAATTTTATAAACTTCAACATCAGCAAGGATGTGTAATGCAGTAAACTTCTCTAAAGCCTTCGTACTGTCCTTAAGCCTTCCTTTAATGCCGGTGGGCACTGAAGGGAACCTCATGAGTGAATAGTGATAATAGAAAAATGATGCAATAGGTGATTCTGTGAAGATACATCGTGCTCTGGATACATTAGCAAAGGTACACTATCAACATTTCAATTCTAATTGTAGCAAATTGATAACATGCTTTCATTGTAACTGAAACAAGCTAAACAATTGAAGGCCTACAAGACAATGAATAATGAACTACGTGGTAAGGTATTGGTGAAGTGCAACTTGCTGCTCTTGTGTTAACTGATTAATGCATGCCTGGAACATGTCTGGGTTGGCTTGTAACTGCCGTACGATGTTGAGCATTCGTTTGGTTACTTCCGCTTCCTTCTCTACTGCCTCTCTCTTGAATGCCTGTGAGTAAGGAAATTAAAAATATTAGAGATATGAACCAAACAGTATTAACCCAATTTCTATCACAGACATTTAGGAGGCCATGAATATTCTAAAGATACTCATTTTATCCAACCACCAAATGACTGATATAGCAAATATTTTATAGTACAGTGAACATGAAAATTTTCATCTCATATTAACTGACTATCAAATGCCTTATTTCTCCCATGAAAAACCTGACCATTACAGGAAGGTGAAAGAGTACAAAGTCACAGGAAAAAGATACAAAATAAAAGACGTACCTCGGAGAATATAGCCATGAGCCGTGGCAGGTTCGCATTGTTTGGTCCAAGGACAAGTGGGTGGTTGCCATCAATCAAGTCACACAAATACCCATAAACATGTGGTGCTTCATCAGTGTCTTCCCAAACAGGGAGCCATGACATCCATACTGGAATCACCTGAGGAAATATGTATTAAATTACCAGATGCCTGCTCATTTTGTATTTCATAAGATTATGCTGGTGATTTTCTGGTTTATATATAATGAATAAAGTAATACTAAAATGCAATGTCGTTAACCTACAAAAGTGCAATGCTGAAGCTCTACATACACGTCCGAGATTCTATGATATATATACTGTATAATTGTTGGACTGCCTAATACTGTACAGATTCAAATCTAAATATCTTCACATCTTTTCTGATGGGTCTGTAGTGTACAAAAACACTGTAGTAATTTATACAATATAGTGCTCAGTGTGATTGAGAGTTTATTAGCATGAGCTTAGTGGTGAGGCTGTACATACAGTATACAAGGCGAAAACTCACCTCATCAATATTTATTGCCGACGGATTATACTTAAGAACTTTAGTTACGGCAGCAATAGCATTCTCTGTGGGATTGAGATTGACTTCATTGCGTGCATCTGGGCTCTGTATAACTTGCACCAAGAGAGGAATAGCCTGAGCACACACAGGTGCAAATGCTGGACCAGCAAACTGACCCAATACACCACAACCATATGCAGCTGCTTGTCGGACCTCGCCCTGCTTATCCGTTACAAACTTTAGTAAAGCCTGAAATAAAAAATATTCAACTATGTATCCATCATATTTGAAAATAATTCTTATTATTTAACAACTGTATCTACAGTAGAGGAAATTGATTAAATGAGTGGCACTAAAGGTACAGGTATTTATATACTACAGTGCAAACAACCTTCTGTTGTTCAAGTGTATTTCTATGTTTAATTCAATGTCATTCCACTTAAAAACTGCATGCACTTAAATCATGGACAATACATATTTCTCTTTTGATGCACTAGCTTACAATATTCTTGTCTGTCTGAAAGTTTATTGAGTCCAGCAGACAGCTTGAGATGTCCCTCAAATAAGACATGACTACATATGCATGTCTTCAAGATTACACTGTATTTTCAAGTACAGTGAACCCTTGAAGATTCAGACAAAATGTGGGGGTTCCAGGGGTGAAGAAGCATTCCCAAAATTGAGCAAAGATCATCTTAGGCCCGTTTAACTAAGATGACAGCGTGCGGGACACAGGCGCCCGAAGCGGGAAACCAAGAGTTGTCAATTGTTGTTTGTGGGAACATTATTTCATTCACTCTAGTAATGATACAATGTTTCTCATTATTCCATCGTAGGTAAATGCCTGGTTTATATAATTTGTTATCACTGTGCCCATCACCTTTTTCAAATTAGCTTACAAGATATGTACTTCTCCCATATGCATTTCAATCCTACACCTGGCAACAGGTGCGAGTATGGGGAGTGAATGAGGCGAGTGACGCTAGTTGAGTTGTCTGCTCTTGTAACTCTCCTCCCTGCCATATTTCACTGGATTTAAGGCTATTTATAGTGTTTACTGATATAATACAGTAGTGCTTAATCATGGCATTGTAGCCAGATTAGACTCAAAAGTAACCACCATGCTATGTAACCTTTTTCATTTATTTTTACTCAGTTACATGCACACACCATCCTACATACATATTGTGAAAAAAGTAAAAGAAATAATTGTCCTAAGGGCAAACACATATAGGGAATACACATTTCTTTGCACATGACATAGCTGAGCGAGCGGGAAAGTACCGATTGCAGGGGGTGGGGAGCGTTGTTAGGGAATTGGCATCCCAGCTGGTCTTTGTTACTATAGCGAAGCAAGGCATGAATATAAATGGCCCTGAAAATTTATTCCCAGACCCAGAAATAAGTGTTAAGATTTCCAGATTTTTTCTCGGAATTTTCAACCTCGGATTTTGATCCCAAACCCAGAATTGAGAAAACTTTCCCAGAAAAATTCCAAGCAAATTTCATTTCTGGCTATTGGAGAGTTCCAGGTTTGAGGGATTCTGGCTAACGGAGATATTACTGTATTTTGATATAATTTTGTAATCTAGTTCAATAGATTTTGATCACCAATTAGCAACCCCAACTGATTGGAAAAACTGAGACAATAATTCAAGACAACTTACCTGTAAAAAGTGATCGGTGTATTTGTCACAGGCTGGACCTCCGTATTCTATCACATCATCAAAAATACAGAGTCCCCACTGGTGGTCTGGCCAAGGTCTGTCATCCCCTAAAAGTTTCACGAAGTGTGGAAGAAGAGCATCAAAGAATGGGAAGAAATGCTGACCATAAGCTGCAAAAAGCGCATGAGTGATATCAGCAACTTTACTTAAAACGTACACATCTTCATCATCTTCATCTAAAAGCTGTTCTTCTACAACCTGCAAATAAAAAATATTTCTGCATTAATACTCAATGAAATATTACTTATGAATTACTACTCTCTAAAATTGTCTCATTTGCATAGTAAATGTAATTTTTAAAATTTTATGATTATGATCTGAAAGCAAGTGATTTTAAGATTAAATGAAAGGGGGGGGCATTCCAGAATCAAGAAAAAATACCTCTTTTTCTTCCATTGTGGTCATCCATTACTTTATTGCTATAATATCCTCACAAAACACAAGACCCTATGCTCTACAGTAATTATATACACTTCTGCTTTTCAGAAATCAATCCATTTCACTTTTAGTCAGCCCTTTATGACATCTTTTCTCGGTCTAGCCCAAAAAATTATTTACCTTAGCTAAGTAAATGCACTACAATCCTCAACTAAAAGTTATGAATTCTCTACAAGGCCATGGGGAGATAACACCCCCTCTTAAAAATTACAAAATACTTCCAACTAAATAAGCAATGTTTCAGTTTTAAAGCATACACATTGAAACAAATAAATGACTGAATGACCAACATCCTACAACAATATGACATACTGTACTGCAATTTCTAAATATTTTTTTTTAAATTCTATTTTAGTGTTGTACATATCCAAACAAAACAGTAATCAGTAAGTAACATCACCTAATAACATGCCAAAAATAAAATGTTACATACCTCATCATAATCTTCATCCTTACGCTGTTCTTGTCTTTTGACAGCTCGTTCAAAATGTTCCTTAAGAGATTTATCAATTATTCTAATCAGTTCATTAATTTGGTCATTTGTAAGACAACCCATTCCAAGGACTTCTATGCACTTAGCCATGGCATACATGTGTTCTGACAAAACCTCACTTTCAGGCTCTGTCTCTATTGCCTTTAGTAGCTCTGGGCACATATACTGCCACATTTCAGCCAAGTACTGTGGTCCCTTAATCTTTGCACATTCTAAGAGGAATGGAAGAGACTCTGCTGCTGCTGTCCTTACTCCATCGTGGAAGTAGAATTTGAGCATTGGAACCATTAGTTTCACAACCTGAGAAGATTGTAACAAAATTAACTCGACAGCATAAATACTAATAATAGAAAAAAATAAAATAAAATTTAGTCTTACAAAATGGTGAATCACCCTTTTCTCTGTGTGATTACATCTTAAAATTATTAAAAGTTACTTAAACCAAGAGAAACTTTAAAATATCCCCTTCTAAATCAAATTTCCATCATTAAATATACAGCTCCTCCCCGACTTACGACCTGCCTCAGTCGTACCAAAATTTTGTCAAATTACGTATTTTCGAGTCCCGACGTCAGTGATTGCGCTATGTATTGACAAAATTTTCGTTTGTAATTCACTTTAAAATGGCTGGCAAGCTTAAAAGTGAGAGTTTTGTGGTGCTGTGAAGAAAGAGACACCCATTTTAGATTTTCTATGTATTATTTAAGCATTTTTGACTTACGACCTGGGTTTAGGTCCCTAACCCCGTTGTAAGTCGGGGAGGAGCTGTAAATTAACAATATCACAGATTTTTCTTACTTGTTCTGTGTAGTCGGCAAAGCCTTCCTTTAGTTCTCTTGCATAACATACTAACATCTGGCAAGCAGTGGCTTTTTCCTCAAGTCCAGCTGTGCGAATACCAAAGTTCTGCTGCTCCCCAATAGACACAAACTGCCAGTCATCGTCACCATCAACTGCATTCATATCTTCATTGTCTAACAGAGCAACCTGTAGTAGTAAAATAAAATATTAGTAGAAATACTAATATGATGAAACTTAGTCATTATTTTCTTTTTAATGATGTCGACATAGGAAGCAATTAAGAAAAATAAAAATGATTGCACACTGAGTGAGAGTACCCCTTCTGGCCACTATGTTACATGTTCTACTGACCTTAATATCTGATTTTTGCTCCCCAACTTAAAAAATGAGAGAAAATTATCTCTAAAAAATTACAAGTCCAGTTTCAATTTAACACTAGAGTCCTCCTCACGCACACACATGGGATGGGTGACTACTGTACAACACCTCCTCTGCTTAAACTGAACATAGAGTAAAAGTACAGTACAGGGTATTTGTAAGCCTGTGATGATCTTTTGTGCAAAGAAATTAAAGTACAGTACATTACAAATTAGAATATAGGAAGTTAAAAGTAATTACAAGTCTTGCATACAAGTCATCTCATCATCAGGAATTAGATTTTTTTTTATATTTACTCTGCTATAACAAAGACAAGAAATTTATAATTTGCCACAAAGGAATTTCCCCTATTTTCCCCTATTAAAACACAGTGTCAAGGAATAGTCCGAGAAGACCGGACAACTCGCCAACCACACTGGCTAACCATTACCCCGGAATACGATCAGCAAATCGATTAACATCCAAATTACCAATTACACTTTTTTCTGTTTCCAGTCAAATTATTGGTCATTTTGAATTTTATTTTACATATTGACAATATATAATGCAGTGCAGTGTTATTTAAAGAAAACAATCTGGAATTACACCAAGCGAACTAAAATTTTATGGGTGAAATGGCAGCATGGAGTGACTTCTCTTCCACCCCAATGCCTTCTCTTCTCCCTTCTCCTCCACCCCTTCTAATTCCCATCATCATCATCAACCAGGAGCCTTCTACATGCACACCTCAAAGTCAGTGAAATTTACTGCATTTATTTTTAGTTTGTATGTAATTTTCGGTGAGCTGGAACCAATTACCCAAAAATCCATTGAAACAATGATTTCGGTTAACGAACGACCTTCTGGAACGAATTGTGTTTGTTAACTGAGGGACCACTGTATATATATATATATATTCTTACTTCAGGTTTCAAAGAGGCAGTCTTCAAAACTGGTCCCATAACAAGTGGTAGGTATGGCTCAAAGCGTTTGCCCATAATCTTGCAAATACGAGCCCAGGCAGAGATAAGGTAAGATACTTGTGGATCATCATCAGCCATTTCTTCCTGGTTAGTCTGGGCTTTTAGTAGTAGATCCATCATCTTCCCAGCATCTGTCAAGAACTGAAGGAATTGCCATAATTTACGACACATGGCTAGACAGATCAAAAGGTTTCTACAAAATAAAATAAAATGATATGGTAATAAGAGGTAAAGAAATGTAAATCCAGTGATTCTAGTTTTCAAATTACAAATGACTAGTAATAACTTCAAATCTTCTGAATCATTAGTATTGTGCTGGCATTACAAACATGATGTATATAAACTGCAACTTTGCACCACTTATTACCTTATCTGCTCCAACTGCAAGACCAATAAGTGACACACACTCAATAGTTTTTCCTCGTAGTAGTCTCAAGTCCGTAGAATTGGCATTTTCAATAATGTACATGAGGCAAGGGATGAATCGATCATAATACTCCACAAACTTCTCCTCAGCTGTGTCAGCCACTGATGCAACTGTAGTCACAACTTGTTCTAAGACCAATTTTGTTCCACACTCCATTAACTGAAGAAGAGAAATGAGTAATAATAATTTTTTTTTTAATATACAGTACTTGTAAAAAATATATGCAAGTACAAAATATGATAGCACTTCTAGGGCCCAAACAAAACATTAATTTTAAACTTGTATAACATTTAACACTAAACCATGGCTTACCTCCTTGAACTTTGCAGCAAGAATGCCCTCCAGCTTAGCAATAATTGTTGGGAGGTATGTAGTAAGGATATTCTTTGGGCACACCTCAGAGAAATTCACAAGAGCAGCTCCGGCATGAGCCTGTTTATAGAGAAAATATGACCATATACAGTAATTAACCCTTAAACTGGTGCCATAAAATTAAAGCAGTCCACCAAAAATCATTCTTTACGAAGAATGGAAAGTAGATGATTGGTAGACACTCTAATGAGACACAAGGCTGGCATAGCTTATATCAACTTGCAATCATCATCATGGAATGATTTATGCCTCATTACCCTCCTCCTGTCCTCAGTGACTGCTCACCCACATTGCACCACAAAAAACTCCACCGCTACACCACCACAACCATGCCGTTATCATCACAACAAGGGCCCAACACTTCAGTTACTCTTTGCCTCACATCATACTCATAACTTGCCACCCATGATGAGTATAATTTTTTTTATGGTTTTTATGGTTTCTGAAATTTCTTAATTTCATATTTTTTTTTTTTTCATTTGTGGGGTCCCCTTGATTTTCCAATTGGTGCAGTTATTGGGTTAAATTACCTACAGATTGGTCAATCACACTTATTCTTTCCCCAACTAAATGTGATGCAACATAGTAATACTGTAATACATTCATACTAGCATGTTGAAAGATGATGAAAATCAAGACCAGATATTGCTTTAATGTCTCAAATTGTTCTCTTTATCCAGCAAACAGACAACTTAGTTATGAATGCTGTGGTTTTTGTTACAGACTAATTTACTTACCTGAACTCTAGGATTCACACCATCATCCATGACATGGAGAAGACCCGGAACAACAATTTCATGGAACTTTTTCTGGAATATTGGTGCAAAGTCTGTTGCCATCTGACCAATGGCATTGCAAGCAGCATAACGGACTCTAGGATGAGGATCATGAAGAAATCGAATAACTGCATCCATAATCTGTAACATTGATGACATTTTTAGAAATAGCAATAAATTACAAATGGTAATAATACTGTATATATATATATATATATATATATATATATATATATATATATATATATATATATATATATATATATATATATATATATATATATATATATATATATATTTATATTAAGCTGTTTCCTGTTGAAGTAACATGAGAGATAAGTTTTTGAAAGGAAAGAATTTTGTGTGGCACTGCTGGATCTTGAAAAAGCTTATGATAAGAGTCAATAAAAAGCATCACCCTGAAGCTTTTCACTTATTTACCTAGATGCCGTACTTGTAAATATACCGGCTCAGTTGGCATTTTTGTCATAAGCAAACAGACCCTGTCCCAATTTTCTTAATTGCATGGGGTTTAACTAACAGCTAGATATCATGCAAATCTCAAACTCCTCATACCAGAATATAATATTTGGGGCAAAAGTAAGGTTCTAATTGTTGCTAATCCCCTTCACCAGAATTAGGCACACAGTGCCCAGGTTTACCTAGTATTTACAACTGAAGTTTGAGAAAAGCATAATGGAAGAACATGTGTTCATTCACTACATACTTGAGGTAACATGCCCTCCATCTGCTTGTGGCATCCCTCCCCAACAGCTGATATTGCCATAAGTGCAGCATGGCGACATTTCCAGCTATCACTCTGTAGCATCTGAGACAGAGTTGCATTTATATGTGGCAATACTGTCTTACCACCAAGACCACATGCCAGACGATCCAAAGAGGACTCAGCAACCACAGAATTGCTATCATTGTCTTCTTCTGCTTGTTCATCGCTTACACTCCACTCCTGTGAATAAAAATTACATAATGAGGTCTCAAATTGGCACTCCACCATAAGAAATTATGCAAATATAGTTGCTCGACCGTATGTGAACAAAGGACTGTTATAGAAGCAATTATAATGCAAAAAGATTATAATCACATTTAATTTTGCTTTGGACTTTTAAAATATGTATAACATAACTTACTTCTTCATCCTCTAAATCGGTCATCATGTTGAGCATCTGAGGTATGAGTGTGTTCATGTACTTTGCTCCAGCTTTGCGTACCATAGCAGGGGCAGTCTCAGCCAGCGTTACAATCGTCTCTAAGAGCAGGTGTTTCCAACTATCACCCACGTTTGGATCTGGCAGAGCCTGCAAAATTACAAATTGATCACTAAAATGTTGCATTAATACCTGTAATATCATACAGCGGTACAGATATATAAATGCTGGGAAATTAAATGTGGGAAGTAGACTAACAACACTGATTAGAGTTGGAGAGAATGTTTTGTATTATAATTCAATGGGCTTACAGCTGGTGAATCATCAGTAGAAAATCTGTGAAAACAAAAATACCCAAGGACGAGTTACTACACCATGTGAACACCACACCACCCAATGTCTCCATGACCATGTAAGGTCCTTCATATCAACACCCGAGGAAGAGTTACCGCGCCACATGAACATCACACCACCTGATGTCTCCATAACCACGTGAGGTTCTTCATATCAACACCCGAGGACGAGTTACTACACCACGTGAACACCACACCGCCTGGTGTCTCAATGACCAGCCCAGGCCTGGGCCATCAACTGTAAACTATAATAATTTGTGTGTTCAATTCATGTTCCTTCTTCTTTCAGTAAAGAAAGCTTTTGTTAAATGACCCACCTACCCCATGTCTTTGTTTGTGATAAGTCATTTTTGTCCAATGTATATTTTCAGCCTTCGGGCTGCAGAACTTTGTCAATAAACCGTTAATTATTATTATTATTATTATTATTATTATTATTATTATTATTACACACACACACTTTTACCTTAATTGCTAGTTGAAGTATGGTTTCCACTTGTGGCCTCAAGAATTTGGGGCAACTTTCTGCCAAGTCTACCAAGCACTTTAAGAGAGCATCATCTTCACCAACTTGGATGCTATTGGCAATTATCTGCAAGAAAAATTTGTCTTTGATAAAAACATGATTAGGGGACAATTCTTGATTACTGTACCATTTAACTGCAGGTCAAGCTATTACCAGGCATTTATATCTAAAGAGAATTTACTTTTCCCTACAGAAACTTTCTGTACACAAACCTAGCTATGACACGAATACAGTTCATGATGATAGCCCCACATCACAATAGATTTACCATTGGGGTAAATCCCAGAGGGAAAACACATTTTAATGTCACTCAAATTTCTTGATCAAGTACAGTACCTGTAATGTATACTTCATGACCTTGACAGAACAGGAATGTTCTGACACTAGCTGTAAAACCACCTTAAAAGTGTCCCACAAGGAGATGATTCCCTCTATTACAAGTAAAAATATAGCACAAGCCAACACATTCTGAACCTTTACCACAGAAAATCTTGGCCCAATTTTGAGCAGAATACTTGTACTCTCAATCTTCACATTAACCTTTCTTTACTTGAAAAGCCCTCTGGATCCAGAGACCAAAAGCCTAGAAAAATAAACAGGTTATCTTCCCCTCAAAAACCACCAGTCTTGTCTTTGAGATTAGAAAGCCTTGAAATAACAGCTTATGGTCAACAACAGATGGCATATGGAGGACCCATGTACTCGACTAGGTTGAAGTGGTGTGTGCTGTTTCCAAGACCATTTTAAAGGGCTTTAGTTTGTTGAAAAGGCTTAACAAATAAATCAATAGCAGCTGACATTTTCAAGGGATTTCTTTATTTTACCCCAATAGACTTTGTGGGATAATGAGACTTGCTATGGCAGACATTAGGTCATAACTACAACAGTAACACCTAAAAGATAACAACATATACTAAATTACCTGAAGGAATTGAGGCAGAAGATCAGCAAAATTCTTCTGGATATTTGGCTCGTTGTCATGAAGGAGAATAAAAGCCGCTGTGGCCTTAACAGCTAGAGCTTGTACAGGAGGGTTAGAAGAGTCTGCCAGTGAGGTGGTTAGCATGGCTTTTATCATCCCCAAATGCTGCTGTTGCTGATTGCCAAATACTCCAGGTACCAAGCTGTTAAAATTAAACGAGTCTTCTTTTATACTGTGCTTAATGCCAAGGGCCAAGAGCACCGTCATAAAAGCAGAAAACAAAACACCACCCACAAAAATTGGGTCCCAAGAAGTACTGTATATTCCCTACAATGATGTTCTTTAAAGCATTTGAAAGGCCGAGTTGGGTAAATCAAGAGTAGAAAATTCACTGCCGTACAAATATCCATGAGTTGTGACCTTATGATAAGAAGTATGGGTAAATTCTGCTTAATTAAAGGCATGTTAGTAAGCTTATTAATGCATTGGTTAAACATGATTGGAAAATAAAATTTCTAGGTTAGCCATTTGGAAGCCTAAGAGCAGACATATTCTGCATGGATTGGGAGAACAGTGGGATCTGAGTTGTCAATGGATAAAAATGGTTATGCAAAAGATGAAGGCTTTGTAATTACTGGTAATATATACTGTACCAGGATGTAGTAGTAACACCATTGAAAAAATTAGCTCATGGGGCATGGGGTTGGTATATCAATCCACAGCACTGCATTAATTAATTAATTAAAAAGAAAAATTACACAAACACACAAGCAAAAAAGATTCATGTTGTCTGAACGTAACAAGGATGAAATGAAAACTGACTTAAGTAATGACGAGCTGATTAATCAAATGAAACTAGATGCCGTAGCTTTGATAAAATCAAAAGTGAAGAGCAAAGGAAAAATATACAAATGAAAAATAAGGGGTGTGAAGTTAGGAGTGTCTGAGAAGGTAAGCAATGTGGTAAGTATTGAAGCTAAATTAAAAAGGGAACGTTTAATGTCAAGGTTATTCAATATTTTCATGGGTGGAGCAGTTAGAGAGGAGAGAGTAAGAGTGACGGAGGAGGAGATTTGACTGAAAGGGATGTTCGGAACAATTATGAGGTAAGTCAACTAGTGTTTGCAGATGGCATTTCTCTGGTGGCAGATTCATGAAAAAAGTTACTTGTACATACTTGCAAATAGTTGTGAATGACCTTGAATGTTTCTTGATAAAGATGAGCTATGAAAAAAAAAAAATTCCCCCAGAGGTGAGAGACCAAGAGGAATAAATGTTACCTTGAATGGAGACTGGAAGAAGAGAAGTGATTAGGTATCTGGGAGTAGACTACCAGTGAATGGAAAAATGGGTGACACATTGAAACATGAAGCAGTTGTGGTACAGAAGGTAGCTGGTGCAGTGAGAACAATGCATGAGATGAGTGATGACAGAAATAGACAATAGAGTGAAGATGTGAAGCATGTACTCTAGATGCAAGGGGATGAAGTCAGAATTGATGGAACTGTGCTAGAGATCATGGTGTAGGGTCAATAAAATGTAAGGAGTATGAAACAAATAAAATAAAGATGTGAAAGGAATATTGGACAGAGTGCTGACCAAGGTTTCTTTTGGTGGCATGGACATTTTAATGGATAAGGAATTGATTCATTAGCAAAAAAAAAAAGTGTTTAATTAAGAGGTGGATAGTAGAAGGGAAGACCAGTGAGCCTGTGAAAGGATGGAGTGAGAGGTACAGGATGCAGCAGAATGTGTGCATGATAATACAATCACCGCAACGAAAGTTGAGACCTTCCCCTGTATTATGAGTTCGGTTTGACCTCAACAATATTGCACCAAATATCATCCTCAGATCTAGTTGAAATTCTGGAAACATTTGGTAACATCCTCACAAGCCTCTGGCCATACGGAGACCTCAGTGCCCCACCAGTTGTAGAAGAGGGAGCATGCAATGTCAATGCCTCGACTTCTTGCGGCCCTCATTTTCCTTCCCTGCTGCATCACACTGCCCTGTGTGCATCTGAGTGATCCAGGATGGGCCCCAAACCACTGACAGTCGAGGAAAAGGCAAGAATATTGGCTTTAAGGGAGGGAAAAGTGCTTATATTGTCGAAATTTGTTGTAGTACTTGCAGCTCAAAAGCAACTGTCACGCGTCCCCTCGCAGTCACCCGGGACCTGCCACCCAGAGCTGTTCCAGTGCACAAAGTTCATCGTGGACCCCCCTAAGGACTTCTCCTGCCACAAATCTCCTGAAGAATTCTTTACTCAAGAACCCACGACTCACGGCAGCCCAGCTGAAAAACCTTTCCATTCATGGGATTCAACACAGCCTGCAAAAAGACCTTCACATGCCCAACCGTGTGGTGGCACTCAAGCCGCTTCTCACCCCTACCATGTGCCACAGGAGATTCGCCTTTGCTAAAAAATACTGTCATTGGACTGTGGTGCAGTGGAAGAAGGTTATGTGGTCCGACGAAAGCACTTCTTAAATCATAACTTATCATCGTGTGCGTCAGAAGGCCCTTCGACCACAGCCTGGTGTGGGGTAGCTTCAGTGGTAACAAGGGGGTGTGGAGGAGCTTCAGTGGAAACAAGGGGTGTGGAGGACTGTACTTTCTCCCTAAAAATATAACTATGAATGGCATGTGCTAACTTGAGGTTCTTAAAGATCATTTATTGGACATTTACGAAATTCACGAAACTGACATTTATATGCATGATGGCACTCCTTGCCACTGCGCCAAGAAAGTGACTGATTTCCTCCGGGAGAAGGGTATTTCAGTGCTAGAGTGGCCAGGAAACAGTCCTGATCTAAACCCCATTGAGAATGCCTGGAAAGAGATGAAAAGTAAGATCAAGGACCGTGGCATTTCCTCTCTGTCTCACCTGCATGACGAGGAGATTAAAAAAGTGTGGACACACGAGATGGACACCTGTGTGAAAGCATGCCGAAAAGGTTGTCTAATGTGGTGAAGGCCAGGGAAGAGATGACTGGGTCCTACGGATGCATTTCCAATCTGTATTTTTGTATAAATAGAGTAATTGCCTATTTTGTTTCTATCACACCTAGGTCTCAACTTCTGTTGCGGTGACTGTAGATCCTAGTATCAAGCACTGTAGTTTATAGGGATGGACATGCTACTGATGGGTAATTAATATTGGATCGTACGAAGCAATGGGTAGACCAGATGGGAATCTTTAGACCATACTGCAGAACACAAAAACCTTAGCAGCACACAGCTGTTACTGCAGTCAGAGGAAACAAACAACAGCAAAAAACAGCAATAGAAGAATCTGCATTGCCCACGAGTCTGGCTACCCCGTGCAACGTGGGAAAAAGCTAAGGGTTGTGTCTGTTTTTGTCACAAATGATTACATACAAGTAAGTGATAGAGGTAACTGTATGCATTCAGCAAGAACCTGGATGATTAGCTGAAGCAGTAGATGCAATAGAGAGACATACTGTAAGAATTATTTACATTATGTAAAATTGTAAACTACACATCACACGTAAGTATGAGCCTCCAAGACCTGACTAGGATGAAAGATACATGGAATGCTCTTTATATTGGAGTCTGGCAAATACTAACTAAAATATAAAAAATGTCCACAACTATACAGAGCACTGAGTGTGGTTGAAAACATAACTTATTTGTTTAATCATTACTAATACCATATACAATGCAAGGACAACATGAAGATTATAATTATAAGGAAAAGCAGGACTCTCCAATAATTATCTCACCTGAATAGAGTGAGAGCAATCTCCTTGTGTGCAATGGAAGGGGAACTTGCACTTTCAAAAAGAAACTGGAGGAACTCTGGCCACTTGTTGTTACCCTCATCATCAATCATGTTGTGTGCAAGTTCACTGATGATATCACATAGTTTCTTACGCATATTTCCATCTTCCTCCTGTTGTACTGATGAAAGGAGCTGTGCTCTAACTTGTCCTTGGGCTTCGGGTGGTAACTGAAATAAAAATGGCAAATATGAATTCTTTAATAAACCCAAGGTGCCACTGTCTTGAGGTAAACCACAATATATATTTTGTTAAATAATATAAGAAAAATAAACACTAAATTATACTTTATTAAACAAAAATGTCAAGTCCTTTACTTACAGTAGGAAAGACTTCATCAAAACTGGTTGTAAGAAGTCTTCTAAGGAGCACAGCAGCCATAGTACGCGCATCTTCACTCGCTGTCTTGTTTACTACATTGGTCAACAATAACTGGAACTTTGTCTCCGCAGCTATTTGGTCATATGTATTCTGTAAAGGAGATGTAACTTATAATACATCCGTTAAACTTTAAAAAAATCCATTTGTTATAGTGCATGGCATCAAGATAAGTTACGATTCACAACAGTATAGTTGAAGGTACCACTGACAAAGACCACGAGAAAGAAGGGTGGATTACAGGGTTCAGGTTACATATGGCTTAAAGAACATTTGTGAATCATGTACGGTAGCGCCTTGTACTTGAGTGGCAGTAAACAACCATAATAAGTGAACCTTCTTCTCTTCTCATTTCACAATATTACATTAAGACTGTCCTATTTATACAACATATACCCAGCGTCTCCCACCATGGTAGAAGCTAACTTCCAATATGCCCAGCCTCCATTGCTATGGAAGCAACTTAAAATATACCCAGTCTCCCCACCATACTTGTACTATATCATATAGCCTCCCCAACTATGGTGACACTCGAAATCCTTCTCCCCCCCCCCATGGCAATACACTGTATCCATTCATCCCACCATACGGCCTCCCCAACCGTGGTAATACTGTACAGGCAATCTCCCCCACAACCCACCACTATCTTAAAATACCATGTAGTCTCCCTTACCACATTAAAGGAGCTATACATCCTCACCACTAAGCACAATATCCAACACATCTCTTCGTTACTATCTTAATATGTATGCTACGACCACTTATGCAAAAACAAAGAATCTTCCCAACCTGCATTATGAGCACTAAATTCGCGAATTCTTCAGCTTAAACCATTTTAGGAAATGATTACATGAACTTGATAAACAGGATCTGGAACAAGTTCTTAAATATATCCCTGACAAGACTGCTGGATACCATGTCGGGAGACAAAAAGTTCCGTATCCTCAGCAAGGTTCCTTTCGTGGATGATGAATGGCCAAAATTTCCTTGATAAAGCAGACTGCAGCGACAGTATATATCGAACAATTTTTTTTTACCTATTACTTAAAATTAGTCTCGACTACTTTTGCACATTTTAGCAATCAAGTGTAAAGATAAAACGCAAAAACACAAGATAAAAGTACCAAACATTTGTAGCACCAGCCAGAAGACTCTGACCTTCAAACTGTGAGCCCAGGCAGTCTTACCATCCACTTAAAAACACCAATATCATCTAACTCTGAAAAAGGTAATAAATCGTATGTAGATCAACAACATTACACCGATAATTTAGTCCGGGCAAGTGATTCTTGACAAAAGACTATGTTAAAGAAATAATGCGTGAATAAAAATAAACATAAACTTCCCTTTAGTAACACTGCTGTGTGAGGGAGATCTCTGATGATGCTGTCTTACAGGACACTATTTTTTTTAGTCAATAACTATGCCTTACCCTGTAAGTTCTATCTAATTGCATAACAGCGTTTATAACCCTTCAGCTCATCAAACATATCTTAAAAGAGAGAAACGATATGTGCAAATGAGAAAACGTGACTAAGAATTTACTTCCCGCCAAAACCAAGAGTGGGCTACAAAGGGTCTATGAACCAAGTCTCCCCACCGCCTGGGGCCCCAGCCTTAGACTGTTCACAACGGTAGGGTCACACTTTGATAGACTCGTCTTCATAGCGAGACAAAATTCTTGTATACAGTACAGGTAGTTATAAATCTGCTTCACAATATAGAACGGATAGTACGGTGACGCCAGGGCTAAATTCGACATAGATAACGGTATCTACCACCACTCATTCCAAGAAGATTAATCCTCTCATGATATGCATCTTTATTTTCGGGCGAAAACAACCTACTCCACGAAAGACTGTTTAACGGTTAGCATTTTAAGCAAGCTAAAGACTGGTAACAATGAACGGGCGAAACTAAGTTTTCATTACGCCTGTTGGGGTAAGGACACATTCACATACCGTCTGAAACTGGCGGGTGCAAATGACCTGCTCCCTCAACACTGGCCACCCTACACCACCAGCCGATGCCAAGCCATCACTGTTCTTACTTGACGTGTCCAACAACCAAATTAAGACCAGTTTTTACCCCGTAGTCCATCATCATTCTGATACACCAACTGCTAAAAATAACCGTGTCCTTCCCATAATCCTTCTAATTCCCAATTACTTTTGCATCTCAATCCTGTTAAACATACGTTTGTTAAGCCTTATACAAAACTGGTTTTCTGATACCCACCAAGTTCAGCTGATACAATATGAGATATGAGGCTATAAATCCGCCAAGCTTACAACTCATGTTACAGATAGTTATATACAGTAGTTATAATTTATTCAACAAACTATTAAATGTATAAGCTACCCTTAATTTGCGGAACAATAGCATTCGCCTTACACACTTATGCCCTAGGATTCTCAACGTTAACTTTTCATCTAATTTTAGCAGGCTTCAGGCACTTATTTTTGGTTAATATACATAGCCACACATGATAATCAAAATTAAACAGTAAAATATGTTAATAGGTGAATGTGAATAAACGCAAAAGGTAACCCTAAGATAAGAACCTCCTGATGGTGTTGAACCCCAAGTGTGAACAAGGATGAGGTAAATGGCCTGCTAGACACCAAAACTCAATGGTGGATAGGGGCATCCTCTTTAACGGCCGCTTCATGGTGTAAAATATCACAAACCCTTTTCCAAGCTTGGCTTCGTCCAAAATTGTAGTCGCAGTATATCTTGAACAATGTGGAATAATTTAACAATGATAAACATAAAAAACTATCACCTTGTCCCATCATTTAATTTGGTACAATCCTAATAGTTACAACCATTGAGTTCATAAGTATAAAAAAGTTGTGTCCTATGCACACGATGAGGAATGTTCACAACAGTACTTCGGCGTGAACAGCGAGTCAATTTGAGTCGACGTACCCTTATGCAGCCTCTCCGGTCAAATGAGAAATCAAACATTATATTACCATACGTCCTACAATAGAATAAATATATTTAAACACAAAGATGGTTCACACATTCAAGCTTCCCATACAGTAAATACATACACAATAAAGAGAGTATTCCTTCCACTCGGGTACACGCTGAGAATCTACCACCACCACCCAACGCGAACATAAAGTGGACAGAACTGTAAGACCCGTCAGTGACCATTGGCAAGTGCTACAAATCAACAGCACACGCTCGCTTATACACGCAGTCCCCTTCTCCCCAACAATTTAAATGGGACTATTCTAATTTTTCTTCATACATAATGTACACACGATCCCAAAAGTATATCTGCACAATTCGCGCGAAAAAATCTGACAACAGACGATGGACATTGCTAACGACATTTCCTGTTTTATTCAGGGTAAATATTGTTATTATATGAATATTCAGAAGAAAATACATTAATCTTGCGAGCAATGTGTAGCATAGTTCAAGTTGGTGGTTACGTTGCGGCATACTTTTTTGATCGTGTGTGCTTTCTGCTGTAAACATTGTATATTAAATATTGAATTCCACAACTTCCCCAGTCCACAATAACTGTTCCTTTTGAGCCAAATTTCAGTGTTTTAATATAAACTGCCCCAAAACAATTGCAGTACTGTACATTTCATCACCGCCCAGTTTAAATGACAGCAGTTTGTATTACATTTATCTACTTGTCATTCCTACGACGTAGGTTTGAATTAGCGACAGAACAGATTGCAATATCTATAGAAATTATCGCTATTTTGTACAGTAATTACCCGTTTGGAGTAAAAACACACACACACAAAAAACCCATCGAGTATTTTTTAAAGTTAAAACTCGCTCGCATTCCATACCGGTCACCAATCCAACTTATTTTACCAGTAACTACTAAATATCTTAATAGTGTTGACAGAATATACAAACTCTGATATCCAAATTAATGCCTTCTAAAAATATGCCATTCTAAGACGTAGGAAGCCGGAAACAATTATAGGTGGAGAAGAAAAATCAGGGGGGGGAGGTGACGACACCAGCGGAAGTAACCCAGCAGGTCGCCTCCACCTTAAAACAGCTTGGCAGCCAACACACTGTCGTCTTTTCAAAGTGAAAGCATAAACAAATTCGTTTATTACATACTGAATATCTTAGATGAGAAATAGCGTTACAACTCATTTCAAGGTTGACAGGTCAGTTCTCTTCCCGACAAATAAAGATACGACTCGGGTAGAAAATTCACGATTTGTGTCATCTTTCCCCATCAGTGATTCACGTGTATGCATACATAATTCATATACAGTATTTATGGCTCCTTTTTGCATCTTAAGATCTCGCGCTAATCAACATACAGTATTTATACAGCTGATAAAGTGTCTCACGCAATCCATTCTATACTGTTAATTTATATGAACGTTACCATAAAATGTGAACTCAAAGATGAATCCATTTACATTATTTGCTTGTTTGTGCAATTATATAAGACCAAAAAACACCCACAACTCATAATGATGCCAATAACTTTACATCTGCTTTCACGGTGGATAACTGGGGGAATACAAACAGCTATTATGACCTCATTGGCATGCAGCTATGGTATCATGCTAATAATAATTATAGCTTTTTCTACCAAAATGGAGAATGTTGACAGTAATTGTTAATCTTAAGAAAACCAAAGCATATTGCTTTAGCATGAAACAAATGAGTCTTGGAAGAAATTAGGTGTTGATAAGAATGTTGGTGACAGCGAAGAGGAACAGTGAGGTGTGGTGAGCGCCAGCAGCAGCCGCCCTCCGACAACGGAAGTGGGGGATCCACCGTCAAACCGCAACACAGTGCTTCAACCCTCTGCCAATATTGACAACGCATCACAAGCCAGCGCGGGGACGCCCACACACACCCGAGTTCTGTCTGCTTCAACTTCCCCTTCAACTCCAACACCTAGGATGGCACATTCCACAAAATTCTCAATATGTTGATCACTCCACACGTACTGTACACAATCAAAACCTTAACACGTAACACACAAAAAGCACTGTAACGTGATGTTACCTGAGCTAGTAGACTTTTATCATATCGGCACAATCTCATGGGCATCCTCTTCACGTAGAATCCTTTCCGCAAGCATA